CAACGCCTGAGTAGAATAGCTCCCACACACTCCGGTTCAGGATTCTAGAGTCTTGACGATTCGTCGACGAGCGTCGAACTATATCGAGCTGGTACCCTGCGGCCTCATCAACTAGCCCCTGTTCTTTCCCTTTGAGTGAGGATATATTCCAACTTCTGACTGTAAGCTCCCACGGGCGGTGTCGTTCTCGTGGAGCGTTTCTGACGTGCTATAATGGCATCGCGCTGCTTCCCTGCTCGGTTCAGAATTGGTAGCGACTCCGCTGCTGGTTGGTACCTTCGTCGTCGCTTCGTTGATCTTCGTCAGCCGCTGTCTTGCTGCGATGTCACCAGCTGCCAGAAGGTGATGTGCAGGTTCTGATCGCTCACTTTTCGCAGCCTGCCTTAGTCCCCGAATAGTCTCCGAAGCCGCTGGCTACTCGGGCGACGACGGAGCTGATATAATATTGCTGATAACAAATGTAAAAAATTTTGAGAGTGCAATACTCACTGCAAACAGGAAGCGCTCTGCAAACGCAAACGGCTCAAAGTGATTATCACCACAATCCAAAAACAAGCAACTCGACTGAAGTTGTATAGACTTTGATAGCTCACCGGTCTTGTAGCCCCGTACAGCCTGAGGACCTTATACTGGGCGTGAAAGTACAACTTGATGATCTTAAATCTCTTGAACAACATATTCAGCCAAACCGAATGTATCGGTAATATATAAAGAAAGTGCATAATGCACAATACAAGTTAGAAGGCAAAAACTTGGAAGAACAAACTAAGCACGAACAGCGTTTTCGGTCCAATAATCTAGATCCTCTGATACAAAACTGAAAGACAACTTGCTAAATGACAAGTTCGCTTTGGACAAGGGAGCATGGTATGATTTTTTCCCAACATTATACTAAGAAACGCTGCACAATGCGAAATGCACAAAACTGTTGTTACAAGCAGAATGCAATGACATTTTAATGAGTCGGAAGCTAAATTCTCATTAAAACATCTTGCCGCCCAAGGTCGTGGAGAACGAACAAAGACAAATAAGACAGACGGGTGAGGCCAAATACGATAATGGGTATTTTTCTAACTGTTACAGCAGCCGCGAATGCATTTCATTTATGATCTTCTCAAACGTCGACTAACGAAGCGACTACCGGTGACTTGTTACTGAGTACATGCCATTAGGACAGTGATGCGTAGCCCTTTCTTCCACACAGCTGCAAAACCAATCTACCTGGCGAAATTGACAAAGGTGACCAGTACAGATGCAATTATGATGGCTACGATCAGCATATTCCTGCATAAGAGTGAATCGTGCAGTTTTCCAGTTGAATACTTTTTGTTCATGCTCTCACACTCTCATCGGCGTCGAGAGGTTATTGCCCTATACACTGTAGCGCTGCATTGTTTTATGTCCTCATGTATTCTGAGTGACAAGTTTTCGGAGATGTTCATCCAGGCAGTAGATCGAAAAAGGTTAATGATGATGAAAGTTTCTGACAAGAAGAATACATTTTCTGCATTTCATTCTTACATGTGCTATCTAGCGATAACCTGCCGAGAAGTCTGCACTCACTCCCCGAAAGGAGGTGAACTCTGCTTGCGTTGACATTCATGTCTATGCCTTCAAGGCGATCGAACGTTGACAACTCTGACTAAATACCACCTTTCATCCATAACACCGGCCTTCGATCCATGAACCGTTTAATGGATGCATATCGTTGCAGCTGATCGTCAACCAGTCGACTACAGGGTATGCCACTCCTCACAAGGAGATGAATGAGTACGATCTGCGAAGTCTGTGCCTCCTGATTCCCGCATATGGACATAGTCCTCTCGAAGGAGACGCCAAAGAACTTTTTCGCTCAATGTTTTCGAACGGACTGAACCAGCCCTATGAACTTCACTTATCGGATTAGACTGGTCATGTCTCAAATTGATGCGCGAGCAACGCTGCCGCCGGGGTACACGTTGTGCATCAGTGGCGAAAACGACGATGGATATGTGCAAACTTAACTGAGACTAGCTTAAGCCTTGACTGTGTCGACCGGCGATCTGCGTGCGCTACTGGCGGCCGTGTTCATCGTGGTCGGCAGTGGCGACCGAGGTTCGCCCATCACCGCATATTTTAATGTAATAAATGAGGCAGGCGTTGCACAGAAGATTATGGTCATCGGTCAGCGCTTTTTATCTAGCAATGTTTTCGGCATGTGCGCGTATTTTCACTATCGACCGCGTAATTTCAAGGCGAAACAACCCACGTTCGGTCGGTCGGCAAAACACTCATAACAAATCGCCAGAAACAAGTCACAACAGCCGACAGATCGATGGCGACTTTTAATTATAATCCGAATGGTCGAGTCGGGGCTCGAGCAGGGTCGAAAATGAAACCTAACAAACCGCCCATTCGTCCGTCAAGTAGCATTTGGCCAAGGCTAGGCGACGACGATGCGATGGATGAAAGAACGG